CCGAGCTCCTTTCAACCTAACAGGAGGATCAGAACTCATCTCAGGTTTCAACATTGAATATGCTGCAGGTTCATTCACTCTCCTTTACAGCAGAATACATAAATATTATTATAATAAATTCCTTAACTACCACTATTTTTCTAGGAGCACCCCACACCATAATTTCACCAGAACTTTACACAATAAATTTAATCACCAAAACCCTTCTCTTAACCACCTATTTTATGAATTCAAATAAATCCTCAAATAAATTCAATAAATTCAAATAAATTCTCCTATGACCAACTAATACACTTATTATGAAAAATTTTTTTATCACTTACACTAGCACTGTGCATATATCTCAATACCTATTCTAAAGTCCAGCATCCCACCCCAAACACAAGAAATATGTCCGAGAAAAAAGAGTTACTTTGGTAGAGTAAATTATAGAGTTTTAAGTCCTCTTATTTTTAAGGCTATAGAAATTGAACCCACACCTGAGAATTCAAAACTTTCCATGCTACGTATTACACCACGCACTAAAGTAAGGTCAGCTAAACAAGCTATTGGGCCCATATCCCAAAAATGTTGGTTTAATCCTTCCTGTACTAATTAACCCACTAGCCCAACTCACCATCTCCCTTACTATCTTTGCAGGAACTTTCATTACAATATTATGCTCACACTGATTCCTCATCTGAGCAGGTTTAGAAATAAATTTATTAGCCATCATGCCAATCCTAATAAAAAACATTAGCCACTGCGCCACAGCAGCGAATATTTCCACCAAATACTTCCTAACACAAGCAAGCACATCCATAATTCTTATAATAGCTACTCTTTCTAACAACCTGCTCTCTGAACAGTGAACAATTACTCCCCACATTAACCATCTTTCATCCATAATAATAATAGCTCTGGCAATAAAACAAGGAATAGCCCCTTTCACTTTTGACTCCCAGTAAGCCAAGAAACCCCCCTAATACCTGCCATACTTCTCACATGACAAAAACTACCTCCCATCTCATATAACTTCAAATCTTTCCATCAATCAACACAAATAAACGCCTATTAATTTCAATTTTAACCATTATAATTGGCAGCTGAGGAGGACTTAATCAAACACAACTACGTAAAATCCTAGCCTATGTTTCAATTGCCCATATAGGATGAATAACAGCAGTACTAGCCTATGACCCAAACATCACCATCCTAAATTTACTTATCTACTATATTCTAACAACTTCCATATCCATAGTACTTAACTTAAACTTCAATATTAAAACCCTGTCACTATCCCACACCTGAAATAAACTAACATAATTAATACCTATTATTCCACTAATTCTATTATCCCTAGGAGGCCTACCACCATTAACAGAATTCTCTCCTAAATGAGCACTCTAACAAGAGTTTACAAAAAACGATAACCCCATTATTCCAATTACTATAGCGATAACGCTATTAAATCTATATGCCTCATTACATATGCCTAATTTACTCGATTTCAATAACAATATTTCCTACATCCAACAACATAAAAATAGAATGACAGTTTGAAAACATAAAACCCACACTGTTCCGTCCTCCATTTATTATTTTTTCCACTCTCCTACATATAACCCTGTCAATGTTAATCACAACCAAGAGCCTTCAAAGCCCTCACGAAGTAAATTATACTTAATTTCTGTATCAATTCTATGGACTGCAAAACTTTGCATCAGTTGAATGCAAATCAACTACTTTCATTAAATCAAGCCCTTCCTAGATTGATGGGACTTTAACCCACAAAAATTTAGTTAGCAGCTAAATAACTTATCAGCTGGCTTCAATCTACTTCTCCTGCCATAAGAAAAAAAAAAGGCAGGAGAAGCCCCAGCAGGATTGAAGGTGCTCCTTTAAATTTGCAATTCAATATGATAGTATCTCCTCAGGACTGGTAAAAAGAGGCCTATTCCCCTGTCTTTAGATTTACAGTCTAACGCTTCCTCAGCCATTTTACCTTTTTCTACCTGTGTCCGTCAACTGCTGATTATTTTCAACTAATCATAAAGATATCAGAACGTTACATCTATTATTCAGTGCATGAGCAGGAATAGTAGGCACAGTCTTTAGCCTCCTAATTCCGGCAGAATTAGGCCAGCCAGCAACCCTCCTAGGAGACAGCCATATCTATAATGTTATTGTCAACACTCACACATTTATTAGAATTTTCTTCATAGTAATGCCAATCACGGTTGGAGGCTTTGGCAACGGACTTGTCCCCCTAATAATTGGTGCTCCTGATATAGCATTCCCTCAAATAAATAACAGAAGCTTCTGACTTCTCCTCACATCCCTTCTACTCCTACGTGAGTCCTCAATACTAGAAGCCGGTGCTGGAACCAGCTGAACAATCTATCTATCCTCCCCTAGCAGGAAGCCTGGCACACGCAGGAGCCTCTGTGGATTTAACTGTCTTCTCACTCCACCTAGCAGGTATTTCTTCTATCCTAGGAACCATAAATTTTATTACCACAATTATTACTATAAAACCTCCAGCCATAACCCAATACCAAACACCCCTTTTTGTCTGATCCATCCTTATTACAGCAGTTCTCCTACTTCTTTCTCTCCCTGTTCCAACCACTGATGTTACTATATTACTAGCTGACCGTAACCTTAATACTACCTTTTTTGATCCTGCTGGTGGAGGTGACCCTATTCTATACCAGCATTTATTTTGATTCTTTGGGCACCCCAAAGACTAAATCCTTATCCTACCAGGTTTTGGAATGATTTCTCATATCGTAGCATACTACTCCAGCAAAAAAGAACCATTTGGGTATAGGTAGAGTATGAGCCATAATATCAGTTGGTTTCCTAGGCTTTATCGTATGGGGTCACCACATATTTACAGTAGGAACAGATATAGGTCCAAGAGCATACTTTTCCTCCACCACTATAAGTATCATCCCTACCAGAGTAAAAGTCTTTAGCTGATTGGCCACATCACATGGCAGCAACATTAAATGACCTCCCGCAATACTCTGAGCTCTAGGCTTTATCTTTCTCTTCACAGTAGGTGGCTTAACAGGAATTGTGTTAGCCAATTCATCATTAGACATTATTTTACATGACACACATTACATATTAGCCCATTTCCACTAAGTCCTATCAATAGGGGCAGTGTTTGCCATTACAGCAGGCTTTACCCACTGGTTCCCTCTATTTTCAGGCTACACACTTAACCAAACCTATGCTAAAAATCACTTCACCATTATATTTGTAGGTGTAAACTTAACTTTCTTCCCACAACATTTTCTCGGCCTATCTGGAATACCTGGGTGATACTCCAACTACCCCGATGCATCACTGCATGAGATACTATTTCATCTGCAGGCTCATTCATCTCATTAACTGCAGAGGTACTGACAGCCTTCACAGTCTGAGAAGCCTCTTTCCCAAAATGAAAGTTTTTCCCATTGAACAATTAAATAATAACTTAGAATTACTTCATAGCTGTCCCCATTTTTATTACACATTCAAAGAATCAGCCTATGTAAAATCTTAAATGAAAAAAGAGGGACTCAAATCTCCAGAAACTGGTTTCAAGCCAATCCCATAAACCCTACAACTCTTTCAATAAGATATTAGTAAAATAATTACATAACTTTGTCAAAGTTAAATTATAGAGCAAACTCTATATATCTTAATGGCCCACCCAGCCCAGCTAGGACTCCAAAATGCCACATCCCCTATTGTAGAAGAACAAATCATTTTCCATTTGTGCGCACCCTGCCCTGGTACACGGTTCCGGCCCTAACCCCATACATGGCCCTGTCTACGAGCCTGGCCCTTGCCCAGTTGCTGGTCCTGCCATGGCCCTTGCCCTGCTCTGGCTTTCCCTTGATCCTGACATTGCCCTTCCCTGGTCCTGGTCCCAGTCTTGTCCCTGCCCCTGCATTTCTCTGGCACTGGTCTGGACCCTGGCCCTGCACTGGACCTGCCCTGCTTTTGTCCTGCCTTTGCTCTGTGCTATCCTGGACTGGCTCTGCCCTGTGCCAGTGCTGATCTGGCCCTGCCTTGTCCTGGTCCTCCCATTGCCCTCCCCAACCCTATCCTGGCCCTGAACCCTCCCTGGCCAGGCCCAAGCACTGTATTGGATCAAACCTGACTCAGCCCAGGACATTCTCTGACCCTGCCTCAGCCTTTGCACTTGGCTCAGTGTCACTCAGTCCTGGTACTACCTGGCCCTGCCTTGGCATTTGCCCTGCCATCTCTATGGCCTGGCTCTGGTCCTGCCCTGCCCTGCCCTGGCACAGCCCTGGTCCTGATCCCGCCATATTCCTGGCCCTGGCGCTACTCCTGGTCTGGACCTGCCATGGCTCTTCCCTCCATGTCCTGGCCTTGACCTCACCCAGCATTGGCCTTGAACTGGTCCTGAACTACCCTGGCTCTGCCTTGTCCTGGCGCTGCCCTGGACTGACACCTGACCTACACTGTCCATGACATGACTATGGCCCTGCCCTTCTCTGCCCTGGCCCTGCCATGTGCTGGGCCCAGTGCTTCCCTGGCCCTGCTCCTAGTCCTGCCCCTGCTATGCCTCTGCCCTGCTGTTGACTATGCCCTGTGCTACCTTAGTCATGCTCTGCCCTAGCCCTACCCTACCCTGGTCCGGCCTTTGACTTTTCCTAGTCCTGGTTCTATGCTGGCTGTGCCATTGCTGTGAACTCTCACTAGCCCCACCTTGGCCTGGCACTACACTGGCCCTGGCAATGTCCTGGCCCTACACTGGGCATCCACTGACACAGGACCCACCATAGGCCTGCCTTTGCCCTGGCCCCTCCTTGGCCCTGTGTTGTCCCTGGACCTGTCTTGGCTATGGCACAGCACTTGCCCTGCCCCGCCCATGTCATAGACCTGACCATGCTCTGCCCTGGCACTACCATGCCCTTGTTCTGTCCTCGACCTGTGTTATCCTAGTCCTGCTTCACCCCTGACTTTGCCCAGACCCTACCCTAGCCTGCAATGTCCTTCCCTAACCTGGTCTTGCCCTGCCCTGGCACTCCCTTTCATCTGCCCTAGCTCTAGTTCTGACCTAATCCTGCCCTTGACTTGGCCACTCCCTGGCCCTGCCTTTTCCCTGGCCCTTCTCTGGACTTGCCCTTGCCCCCTTCTGGCCCTGCCTTATTGTGGGACCTTCAATGTCCCTGCACTGCCATCCCCTGGCCCTGTCCTTACTTTACACTGGCCCTGTCCTGCCTTGGCTCTCAGCTACCCTACCCCTGCCCTTCCCTGTCCCTGTACTGGCCATGCCTTGTCCCTCTCCTGACCCTGAGTCTGCCCTGATCCTGGGCCTGCTCCTGCAATTGGTCTTGTCATGTCCCTGGACTGTGACCTTACCTCCGGTTTTTCCCTGGCCATGACCCAGCCCCAGTCCTGTCCTGTCTCTGGCCCTGCCCAGTTCTGGTCCTGCTCTTCCCCAGCCCAGACTGGGCACTGCACTACCCATGACTCTGACCCTGCCCTGCCCTACACTCCCCATGTCAGGGTCCTTCCCTGGGCCTGGTCCTGACTTGGCCATGGCCCTTACCCTGCCACTCATCTTGCCATAGCCCTGACTCTTACTTGGTCCTGGTTCTGCCCTGGCTCTGGTCCTGGCACTGCCTTGGCCCTGGCCCTGCCCAGGCCCCTAGCTACCCTTGCCTTTCCGTGGCCCTCTGCTTTGCTGGCCCTGCCATTCCCTGGCCCTGCTCTGAACATGTCCTTGGCATTTGGCCTGGCCCCTCAGTGTCCTGCCCTGGCCCAGCCTACTGTTACCTGCTCTATCCCAGCCCTGTCCTGGCCCCACCCTAGCTCCACCCTTATCAAAACCTTGACCCTGAACCTGCTCTTGCCTTCCCTTGTTCTTCCATGTCCTGACCTTGCCCTCACCCAGCATTCCTGCACTGGCCCTCTCTGCCTTCACACAGCCTTGGCCCTGCCTTCTCAATGGACTTGCCCTGGCCCTATTCTATCATCCTATATCTTGGCACTGTACTGGCCCCACCATAATCTGGCCCACTGCTTACCCTGGCCCCGTTCCTAGTCCTGCCCCTGTTATGGCCCTGCCCTGCACTATTCTAGCCCTGTACTGCACTGTCCCTGGCCCTAACCTGGCCTTCTCCTGCCTTGTCCCTACCTTTCCTTTGTCCTGGTTTTGGTTCTGCCCAGGCCCTGCCCTTCCTCTGGACCTTTCCTGGTCCTGCCTTCTCCATGGCCCTGCCCTTGCACTGGCCCTGTCCCTGGACCAGTCTTGGCCCTGCCTTTTCCCTGGTCCTTCCCTGGTCTTGTCATTGCCTTGGCCCATTTCTGGCCCTGCCTTATTGTGGGACCTGCTCTGTCCATGGCAAGCGCATGGCCCCTGGCCGTGCATTGATCCTGGCCTGGCTCTGTGCTATCCTAGTCCTTCCTTTGCCTTGATCTTGCCCTGTTCCTGGTCTTGCCCTTTTTCCCTGACCTTGCCTGCCTTGGCCCTCACTCTGTCCCTGGACAAGAGCTGGCCCCAGCCCTGACCTTTGACTGCCACTGCCCTTGCTCCTGACCATGGTCCTGCCATGGTCCTGGCCCTGCCATTGCCCTGCCCCAGCCATGTCCTAGACCTGGCCATAGATCTGCCCCTGCCCTGGCCCCTGGCACTGACCCTTCCTTGCTTAAGTCCTTACTCTGACCCTAGGGCCTGGCCCCAACACTGTCCTGGTTCTAATTTGCCTGGGCCCTACCCTGGTACACTGCTCTGGCCTTAGCCCTGACACTGGCACTGTCATTGTCCTGGCCCTAGTCCTAGCCCTGCTGTGGCTTAATTTGGTCCTGACATTGCCCTTTGGTCCTGGTCCTGGTCCTGGCCCTGGCCCTGTCTCAGTGCTTCTCTCACCCTGGTCTGGACCCTAGCCCTGCACTGGAACGACCCTGTCTCTGCTCTGTGCTGGCACCGACCTGGCCCTGCCATGACCTGGTTCTTCCATCGCATTGCCCAACCCTGTCCTGGGTTTGTCATGGTCTTTCCAAGTCCCTGACCCCTCCCTGATCCTGCCCTAGCCCTGTCCTGGATCTAACCCTCACTTAGCCCTGGACCTTCCCTGGCCCTTACTCAGCCTTTGCACCCATGGCTTCATGTCACTCAGCCCTAGCACAACGTGGAACGACTGTGGCACTTGCCCCACTCGTCCTGCCATAGCCCTGACCCTGAATTGGCCCTGTACTGGCCCCACCATACCCTATGACCTGGCTCTGGTCCTTGCCCTGTCCTTGCCCTGACCTAGCATAGCCCTGGACCTTGCCCTTGTCCTGCCATATTTGAGACCCTGTCCCTACCCTTGTCCTGGTACTGACCTACCATGGCCCTGCCCTTCTGTACCCTAGCCTTGCCCTCACCCTGCATTGTTCTTGCACTGTTCCTGCTCTACCCTGGTGCTGCCTTGGTTCAGGTCCTGCCTTCTCTGGGCCTGGACATCTCTGGCCTTGCCCTGGCCCTGCCCTGGGAATACTCTGTTCATCTCATGACCCTGTCACTGCTATGCCCTCATCTGCCCTGGAGCTGCCATACCCTGGGCCCAGTGCTTGCCCAAGCCCTGCTCCTAGTCCTGACCCTGCTATGGTCCTGCCCTGCCTTTGGCCAGACCCTGTGCTACCTTAGTCCTGCTCTGCTCTGATCCTACTCTGGCCATATGGGCCGTATCCTGCCCTGGACCAGCCTTTACACTACACCAGTCCTGGTTCTGCCCTAGACCTGCTCTTTCCCTGGACCCTCCCTAATACTGCCCTTGATCTCACCCTATCCCTGAACCAACATGGCCTGGCCCTACACTGGCCATGGAAACGTCCTGGCCATGCATCAGGCATGCAATGGCACTTGACCAACCCTATACCTGACTTCTCCCTGGCCCTGCCTTTTACCTGGTCCTTCTTTGGCCTTGCCCTTGTCCTTGCCCTGGCCCCTTCCTGGACCTGCCTTGTGGGCTACACCTGGTCCATATCCAAAGCCTGGTCTATCCTGCACCTACGCTGCCATCCCCTGGTCCTTACTTTCTCTACACTGGCCCTGCTGTGTCTTGGCTCCGCACAACCCTATCCTTACCCCTCCCTGACCCTGCGCTGACCCTGACCTTGCCACGTCCCAATCCCTGGCCCTGCCCTATTTCTGGCTCTGGTCTTCGTCTTGTCATGTCCATGGCTGTGACTCTACCCCTGGTTTTTCCCTAGCCATGAACCAGCCCTGGTCCCACTCTGCATCTTGCCTTGCCCCACTACTGGTCCTGCTATAGTCCAGCCCTGACTAGGCTCAGCCCTACACTGCCTATGCCATGGCTGTGTCCTGGCCCCAACTTCGCCATGGCCCTCACACTGCCACTCATCTTGCCATAGTCCTAATGCTAACTTGGACCTGGTCCTGCCCTGGCTCTGGCCTCTCCCTTCTATTGGCTGGCCCCGTTCTGGCCTGGCACTGTCTTGACCCTGACCCTGCCCTAGCCCCTACCTGATGTGGCCTTTCCTTGGCCCTCTGAGATGCAGGGTCTGCCATGTCCTGGTCCTGCCCCTGCCATGGATCTGCTCTGAGTGTGGCCTTGGCATTCAGCCTGGCCCTGCCCTAAACCTGCCCTGCCTTGTATCTGGCCCTGCAGTGCTCTGCCATGGACCAACCTTACCATTACCTGGGCTGTCTGGGCCCCAACCTGACCCTGTCTTGGCCTTGTCCTACCCTCCCCCTGTGCTGATTCTGCCCTGACCCCACCCTGACCCTGACTTGGCCATGTCCTATCCTGCCCCTGTCCTGGACCTGTACTGGCCCTGCCATGGCTCTGGCTTGACCCCTCATCCTGCCATGCACTGGGCCCAGTGCTTATGCTGGCCCTGTTCCTAGTACTGCCCCTGCTATGATCCTGCCCTGCTTTTGGCCATGTCCTGTGCTACATTAATCCTCCTCTGCCCTGGCACTACCCCAGCCATGCCCTGCCCTCATCCAAACTTTGAATTATCCTGGGCCTGGTTTTGCCCTGGCCCTGACCTTGCTCTGGCTCTGTCCCTGCCCCAACCTTGGCCTAGCACACATTGGCCCTGGCAATGCCCTGTCCCTGCACCAGGCATACATTGGCACTTGACCCACTCTTTGCCTACCTTTGCACTGGCCCCTCCTTGGCCCTGAATTGTCCCTGGACCTGTCCTGGCTGTGGCAAAATGCTGACTCTGCCCTGTCCATGTAATTGTTCTGACACTGCCCTGCCCTTCCTCTGCCACGCCATAATTCTGTCTTGGACTTATGCTATCCTGGTCTACCATGGTCCTCCCTATCCTGCCCTTCCCCTACCCAGTCCTCCCTTTGGTCTAACCTGGCTCTAGTTCTGATCGGGCCCTGCCCTTGCCTTGGCCCCTTCCTGGTCCTGCCTATTCCCTATGCCTTCTCTGGCCATGACCTTTTCCTGGCCCCTTTCTGGCCCTGCCATATACCTGCCCTAGTCAACGTTTTGCCGTTTCTGGCCCTCTCCTGGCCCTAGTCTTGGTCCTGTCATGTCCCTGGCTCTAACCTGCCTTTGCTTTTTCCCTAGCCATGACCCATCCCAGTCCTGCCCTGGTCCAGCCCTGACTGGGCACTACACTACCCACTTCCCTGGCCCTACACACCCCTGTCTTTGCCATGTGCTACCCTGTACCTTCCCAGGACCTGTGCTGGCCATGGTTTAATTCTGGCCCTGCTGCTCTTGCTGACTCTGGTCACAGCACCAGGCCTGCCGGCGGTCACTGTCCTGGTCGTGTTCTGGCCCTGACCTGGATGTGGACATGTCCTGAGCCTGATTTGTCCCGGCCATGCCTTGACCTGTCTCTGCCCTGGTCCATCAAGGACACGCTTATACTGCCCTTTCCCAGCCTTGCCATGGCCCATGTGTGCCATTGCTTAGTCTTACCCTGTACTGGTTGTGCCTTTAACCTGCCCAGCCCTAGCCGCTCCCTGGATGTGCTCTGACCCTGCCTTGGCTTTTGCCCTGCCTTTGCTATGACCTGCCTCGGCTCTGCCCTGCTATGGCCCTCTACTGCTTTTAGCCATGCCCTCTGCTACCTCTGCCCTGGCCCTACGCTGCCTGTGTTCTGTCCTAGCCCTGCCTTTGCCTTGTCCTTGTGCTGCACTGTCCCTGCATTTACCCTGGAACCTCCCTGGCCCTGCCCTTTGTCTGGCTCTATCCCTGACCCAGCCTTGGCCTGGCCCTATGGTGGCCCTGGCAATGCCCTGGCCCCCACTGGCTGTGCCTTGGCGCTGGACCCACTGTATGCTTGCATGGCCCTGACCCCTCTTGGCCCAGTATTGTCCCTGAACCTGCCACAGGTATGACATGGTGCTGACCCTGCCCTGCTCTGGTTCTGCCCTGGTAACGCCCTGGCCCGACCCTTCTCTGGCCCTGCCTTAGCCCTATGTATCATAGTCCTGCCTTGGCTCTGATCTTGATCTGACCTTCCCTACACTGGCCTTGCCGGGCTCTGGCCAAATTCTTTGGTCTGTGCTGGCTCTGGTTCTGACCTGGCCCTCCTGCCTTGGCCCCTGACCCTGCCTTTTTCCTGGCCCTTCTCTGGTCTTGTCATCGTTCTGGCCCATTTCTGACCCTTTTTATGGGCCTTGTCCTGTTCATATCCCAGCCCTGCCAACCTCTGACCCTTTCCTGGTCCTGCCCTGGCACTGGCCTTACCTTGCCTTGGCTCTCAGCTACCCTAGCCATGCCCTATCCTGGTCTCGTGCTGGTCCTGACCATGACCTGTGCCAAGCCCTGGCCCTGCCATGTCCCTGCACTGACCTTGGCCCTGTCGTGTCACTGGTTATGACCCAGATCCAGTCCTGCCTTAGCTTTGGCCCTGTCCCAGTTCTGGTTCGGCCCTGGCCCAGGCCCGACTTAGGCACTTAATTACCCACTACCCTGCCCTACACTGCTCATGTGCCAGTGCCCTGCTCTGGCTCTGGTTCTGTCCTGGCCCTGACTTGCCCATGGCCCTCACCCTGCCACTCATCATGCCATAGCCCTGACCCTCACTTGGCCCTGGTCCTGTTCTAACTTTGGCCTTGCCCTGCTTCTGGCCCTGCAACTGCCTTGGCCCCAAGGCTTCCATGGCCCTCTGCTATGCTATACTTGTCCCTGCCACTGACCAGTCATGCCATTGCCCTATCTTACCCTGCACTGCTTGTGCCCTGGCCCTGCTAGGATTTAGTCCCTTCCTGGACCTGCCCTTACCCAGCCTTGGCTTTTGCCCTGCTCTTCCCTGATCCTGCCATATCCCTCGCCCTAGTATTGTCCCTATTCAGGCCCTGACCCTGAACCTGCCCTGGCCTGGACCCTGGTCCTCCCCTGGACCTTCCTTTGATCTTCCCTGCCCTTCCATACCCGGATCTTGTCCTCACCCTGCATTAACCCTGCACTGGCATTCTCTGCCTTGGCATAGTCTTGGCCCTGGCCATGCCTTCTCCCTGGCCCTGCCCTGTCGCACTCTGTTTTGGTCCTGTAGTGGCCCAACCATAACCTGGCCCTGTTCCTAGTCCTACCTCAGCTATTACACTGCCCTGCTTTTGGCTATGCCTTGTAAAATTCTAGCCCTGCCCTTCATCAGCCCTTGCCCTATCCTGTCCTTGCCCTGCCCTGTCCCCGCTTTTGCTTTGTCCTGGTTCTGACTTGGTCCTGCCCCTTCTCTGGACCCTCCCTGTTACTGCCTTCTCCTTGGCTCTGCATTTGCTCTGTCTCTGTCCCTGGCCCAGCCTTGGCCTTGGCCCAGACCCTAAACCTCTGTTCGTCCTGGCCTGGCTCTGACCACGTGTTAGCCTAGTTCTGTCCTGGCCCTGACCTCACCCTGGTCCTGGCCTTGCCCCTTTTATCTGGCCCTGCCCTACCTTGGTCTTTATCCTGACCCTAGCCCAGACCTCACTTGCTCTGTTGCCAGGCTGCAGTGCAGTGGTGAGATCTCAGCTCACTGCAGTCTCCGCTTCCCAGGTTCAAGTGGTTCTCCTGCTTCAGCCATAGGAGTAGGTGGCACCATGGCCAGCTAATTTTGTATTTTTTGTAGAGACAGGATTTCACCACGTTGGCCAGGATGGTCTTGATCTCCTAACCTTGAGATCCACCTGCCTTGGCCTCCCAAGGTTCTGGATTAGAGGCATGAGCCCCTATGCCCAACATAAATTTTCATTTTTTGTAAGGATGGGGACTTCCTATGCCTCCCAGGTCTAAAACTCCTAGGCTCAAGAAAACTTCCTGCCTTGGCCTCCCAAAGTGCTGGAATTACAAATGTGAGCCACTGCACCTAGGCTGTTTTTTATTATTGTTGTCATTTTAAATAAACCAGCTTTGGTTGGGCATGGTGGCTCACTCCAGTAATCCCAGCACTTTGGGAGGCCAAGGTAGGTGGATCAAGAGGTCAGCAGATCTAGACCATCTTGGCCAACATGGTGAAACCCATCTCTACTAAAAATACAAAACAATTAGCTGCGTGTGGTAGTGCATGCCTGTAGTCCCAGTTACTCAGGAGGCTGAGCCAGAAGAACCACCTGAACCCAGCAGGTGAAGGTTATAGTGAGCTGAGACAGCAAGACTATGTCTGAATAAATAAAATAAAAGAAAATAAAATAAACCAGTTTTACTGAGGTATCATGCACATACAATCTACCCATTTATTTATTTATATTTTTTGAAATAAAGTTTCACTCTTGTCACCCAGGCTGGAGTGTACTGGTGTGACCTCAGCTCACTGCAGCCTTGGCCTCCCAGGTTCAAGTGATTTTCCTGCCTCAGCTTCCCATGTAGCTGGAATTACAGGCACCTGCCACCCCACCTAGCTAAATATTGTATTCTTAGTAGAAACAGGGTTTCATCATGTTGGCCAGTGCTGGGATTACAAATGTGAGCCACTGTGCCCCACCGAATTTACTTACTTAGTTTACACTTTAGTGGACAACCATAACCACAGTTACGCTCACTGGTGGCATCCATGCTGTTGACAGTGATGGTCCCAATGTTGAGTTCTGGATGGTGGGAAGAAGCAGGGCTGGGCTGGAGCACAGGGAGTGGCCACCTCTCCCCCAACCAGGTTGCCCAGCCCCCACCTTCTGGAAAGAGGACCAGGGCAGGCAGGATGGGAGCTGGGGCGAGGGATGTTTTACACAGTCCTAGGAGGGAGGCAGGACCCCTGAATCTCTCAGTACCAGGCACCCATGCCATCGAAGACCTCAGTGCCCGTAAGCAATAAATGAAGGTTTCACCAGGAGCCATAGGCCCCTGCCTTCTGGTCTCAGGTGTGGCTTTGTGTCCTGGCGGGTGCTGAGGGTGACTCCCCCTAGGGAGAAGGGGAAGGGCATCTCACCTGCTCAGAGCAGCTCTTGATCCACAACCAAGGGATTGCCCGAAATTGCCCCACTGCAGGGACAGGGATTCATGGTGACCAGGTCTCCTCACAGGCAGACCACCCCTCCTCCCGACACACACACACCCAACAGAACCAAGTCCTGATTGCCAGGGCAACCACCTGGAGCTCAGCCCCTTCCCTGGCCCAATCAAATTGGGTGCACACTTATCCCCAAGTGTCCCCAGAACACTTATTCCCAAGCACCAAGTTGCCTTGGGTGCAAGACCCTTGTCTCCTGACACATGTCCCCATGTCAGGCTGAGGGCAGCAGGCTGGGCTGGCCAGGAGCCTCACTGGAGAGCTCTGGCCCTGCTCAGAAACATTCACTGGCTTGGACATCCCAATCTTAGTGAGAGCTGGGGTTCCATGCAAGGTCCCCCTCTGAGCAGATAACCGGATTTTCTGTCCCATTTTGCCCTTCCCAGCTTATCTGTCAATCCCTAAGTCTATGCAGCAGCTACCCCCATCAGGCCCTCGGAGCACTGGAACCTCACCCACCTCCCCAGGGGCAGGACACTGATCCACTTCTGCACCTCCAGCAGCCGCTCAGAGTCTCGGGTCAGTGCCATGGTGTGGCTGTGGAAAGCCAGGGGCAGGAGGGGCAGGGCAGCCAGGGTCCTCCCCTCCAGCATGGCCCCTGCACCTCACCAGCTCACCTCAGAATCCAGCGGCTCCAGCGGAGGGGCTGGGCCCTCTGCAGGTGGCTGTACCCTGGGAAGAGGACATCATGTTCCCTGTGGGAGAGGAGGAGCAGGGGCTCGGGTGGAGGCTGGGGCAAGGCCTGCTGGTGACACTGGAACCCCACAGGCCTGGATAACCCGTGAAAGAAGTGTTGGCCTGCAGCACTGCACCTGAATGAGGGATCCAGGATCTCCCAGGGACAAATTGCTCTCAAGGGAAAAGAGGCCGGAAGTGTGGCCATGTAAACCACGCACTGGGTCTGAGCTGTGGGGCTCCTGGGTTGAGGCTTTGCCAGGAACACCCAAAACATCTCAGCATCTCTGAGTGGGAGCCAGAAGTCACTCAGCATCTCTGAGTGGGAGCCAGAAAAGGGGAGGAGGCCAGTGTCGGGTATGACTTGGCCACGGGAGGTTTCGTTTGAGGACCCAAGAAATAGCTGGGGCTCATGAAGACCTGCTCCAAGCAGGTGGGACACCCTACCCCTCGTTCAAGTCACCATTTTTTGTATTTTTAGTAGAGTCAGGGTTTCACCATGTTGGCCAGGCTGGTCTCGAACTCCTGACCTCAGGTGATCCACCCACCTTGGCCTCCCAAAGTGCTGGAATTATATGCATGATCCACTTCACCCAGTCTTTTTTTTTTTTTTTTTTAAATAAATCAGCTTTGCTGAGGTATCATTCATATATAATTTACCCATTTAAAGTTTACACTTTAGTGTATATCTGTCACCAATTTAAGAACATTTTCACCATCCCCTAAACAAATTCTGTACTCAAGGCCAGGCATGGCGGCTCAAGCCTGTAATGTCAGCTCTTTGGGAGGCCAAGAGGGAAGGATCACTTGAGGCTGGGAGTTCAACCAGACTAAGCCACATAGTGAGAACCCATTTCCATAAAAAATTTTTAAAATTCACAGGGTGTGGTGCACACCTGTGGTCCTATCTACTCAGAAAGCTGAGGTGGGAGCATCATTTGAGTCCAGGAGTTTGAGGCTGCAGTGAGCTGTGACCGAGCCACTGCACTCCAGCCTAGGTGACAGAGCAAGAAATCATCTCTAAAAACAATTTAAAAAATTAAAAATGTGGCCAGGTGCAGTGGTTTACGCCTGTAATCTAGCACTTTGGAAGGCTGACATGGGTGGACCACAAGATCAAGAGATTGAGAGCATCTTGGCCAACAGGGTGAAACCCTGGTCTCTACTAAAAAATACAAAAATTAGCTAGGCGTGGCACAAACCTGTAGCCCCAGCTACTCTGGAGACTGAGACAGGAGAATTACTTGAATCTGGAAGTCAGAGGTTGCAGTGAGCTGTGTCACTGCACTTCAGCCTGGGTGACAAGAGCAAAACTCCATCTCAAAAAAAAGGTAAAAATTTAAAATTTAGGCCAGGCGCAGTAGCTTATGCCTGTAATCCCAACACTTTGGCAGGCCAAGGTGGGCAGATCACCTCAGCTCAGGAGTTCAAGAGGCCAGCCTGGCCAACATGGCAAAACTCATCTCTAACTGAAAAAAAAAATACAAAAATTAGCTGCATGTGGTGGCACTCACCTGTAATCTCAGCTACTTGGGAGGCTGAGGCGCAAAAAGCACTTGAACCCAGATGGTGGAGCTTGCAGGTAGGAGAGATCGCACCACTGTACTTTAGACTAGGTGACAGAGCGAGACCCTGTCTCTTAAAAAAAAAATTAAAGAAACCCTGAACTCAGTAGCAAACGCTCCCTGTTCCTCCTAGCAGCCCCACCCCACTTCCAGGGTGACAATTTGTGTGCCCTTGTTCCCCCCCACGTCTGAGAAACAGGGGTCACAGGGAGTTGAGGAAGAGGAGGGGTCTCTAAAAACACATGGTGACTCCTCAGCAGCTCCCCCTCTAAGTCTGCAAGGAACAAATCCAAACCTAAAGACACCAGCTCCCAGAAGCCAAAGCCTGGGCAGCCTTTGGCTCTTTCACCAGATGGGCTGGGTGGGGACACAGAATATGGGATGGAAGATCTGGGGCACAGGCAGGGTGGGGAGAGACTCTGGCTGCTCCAGGCACAGCCAAGATAGTGCCTTAGCCTCCTTCCCTCAAATCCACAAATGGTGAGTTTTCTTTTTACTTTTTATTTATTTATTTTTTTTGAGATGGAGTCTCACTCCGTCTCCTAGGCCAAAGTGCAGTGATGCAATGTCAGCTCACTGCAACCTCCGCCTTTCAGGTTCAAGTGATTCTCCGGCCTCAGCCTCCCAAGTAGCTGTGATTACAGGTACACACCACCATGTCCAGCTAATTTTTGCATTTTTAGTAGCGACAGGGTTTCACCATGTTGGCCAGGCTGGTCTCGAACTCCTGATCTCTGGTGATCCTCCTGCCTCTGCCTCCCAAAGTGGTGGGATTACAGTTGTGAGCCACCACACCAGGCCCCGCAAAGGGTGGGTCTTCCCTGCCTGCTGAGCTAGACTGGCATGGGAGTATTGGGGTTTGCAGGAAATGCCCCACTCCTGGCTGCTCTGTCTCGATCCTAGAGTTCTGGGATGCCCCTGTCCCCCAGGGCCTGGCACCCCCATCCTGTTCAGCCCTGCCACCTAGATCTGCTGTTTAGGCTGCCATCACACCTGTCTCTGCCCTGTAGGTGTCCCTGCAGTACTCACACCTCTGTCCATTCCACCATGGTCCTGATGAGCTCCCAGAGGAGACCCAAGAGCATGGAGCAGGTCTGCAGCATCCACAGCCTGAGGTCCATGACCACCTGTGTGAGGAGTAGAAGGTGCTGCTCAGGGAGGCCGATGTGCTGCTTCCCTAGGCAGCCAGGACCCTGTCACTGTCCAGTAGCTGAGTCCTGGAAGCCCACCCTAGGAGGGGGCAACTTGGGCCCAGCACACCTTCACCCATGAGCCATGGGGGCCACAGGGCTATTAAAGGATGGAGAGAGGCGGTCATCAAGGCACACAGTTAAGCAGCACTAGGATATATAATTAGTGCAATGTGAAACCACAGACAGGCAACACTGCACTATTTGCTCAGCCTGGGGGCACATGAAGGGGCCTCAGGTGGGGCTTGGGCCATGGGATTACCTCATAAGCTGCCTGTTCCTTGAGCACGATGTGTACCAAGGGGAGCTGGAGTGACGGCAGCACCGTGGGGAAGGGACAGGATTGCCACCCTGAGCTGTGTGACCTTAGACCAGACCCCTCTTCTCCAAGTGAGGCCAGCCAAACAGGTGATTTTGGAAGCCAGTGCTTGACAGTCTGGATTTCAGCTTCATGGGTGGATGGGAACCTGTGAGGGTTTAGAGATGCTGGGAAAACCTTTTCTTGGGAGAGCTTTCCAAACAGAGCCACCCTGGGCCCCACTGAGAAAGGATCCTACCGGAAGCCTTCACCACTGTCTTTCTCCACGCCGGTGGTGATGGTGATGTCATAGATGTAGGTGGTGGGTATCGTGTACAGAAGCATAGACCGCTGCAGTCCTGCCGAGTTGAAGAAGTCAAAGTCTGTGTTCTGGACAAAGGAAACCTTGGGGTATCTAGGGTGGGAGAATTGTGGTTCACTGGGTCCTTGCCCTGGGTCCTTTGACCTCAGCTGGAATGTCTCCACAGCCTCCCCAGATCCAGTGCCTCCAATCTCCAAAGGCCACCCTATCCCTAGCAGGAAGACCACGGGGTGGAGTGGGAAGGTAGGTACAGGCAGTGGAGGCAGGATGGTATCCACTTGGGAGGTGTTAGTCATGTAGCGGATGGTCCCTGGTGGCAGGGGGGAGGGGGTGAGTGTGTTGTTGATGGTGATAGTGACGTGGAGGTGGGAGGGCAGGGTCCCCACCTGGACCAGGCTGCTGATGTTGGCCTTGAAGGGGAGGTAGCCCCCCCTCATGCTCTAGCACATCGACCTTGTTCACCCACTGTAGACACAGGAGATATGGGAGGAGGTGGCAGGTCCGGGCATGAGGACGGACCCTGCTATGGGGCACTCCCTCACATAACCTGCAGCATGGGGCTCAGAGGCCTGCCAGCCACATGGGAAGAATGGCATCCCAACAGGGTAGATCAGGCCACCTATCCCTCTACACAGGGCACAGCCCCCAGGGCAGGGCAGGACAAGGCCCTCTACCATCCCACCCCAGGAGACAAGCTGTGGCTGCCAACTGGAGGTCCCATGTTGTTCAGCAACAATGCCCACCCACCTGCCCTACCTGCTCCTGGCCACACTGACCATGATGGCATAGGAGTGGTCACTGCCAATCCTTAGTACCCCTCTTGTGCACATATCCTGGGTCCACCTCTCCAGCAGGGTCACCTCCAGTTCACACCACACCCAGCCGACAGAATGCCACAGCCGCAAGTCCTGGTTGATGTCGTTGAAGCTGGAGGGAACCAGCA